AGGAATGCAGGCCACTGTCTTTCAGACTATGGGGGAGGATGGAGGCAAGGTGCAGCTGAAGCCCCGAGTTCACCAGGGAACACTGAGGAGCTGGACAGGGATCAGGTGCAGGAAGGGAGGGGAAATTACTGCTTACTGACCCCACTGTAGCTGTCCCCAGCTGACCTGGAGCCAGGGGGAGGCAGAGGCACTACTATCCCACTTCAGCGGGGGCTGTGGGGAGTGTGTGGCTGCCTGGGGACAGTGGTAGTGGCATGCAGTTTTCTCTTTCCAGTGGCTGCTTCTGGCCTGCCTGCCCATCACCCCAAGGTCCCTTGCTCGCTGGAAGCAGCTGCTGGAAGGAGGAATCTGTGCCCCACAACTGCTGTCCACTGTTGAGCCTGGCACCCTGGATAGCCAGTCCCTTCAGCCTGGGCAGGAGCATCTCTGGGGCTCCCCCTGTGCCTATATTAGCTGGGAACAGCAATGGCAGCTGTGGAAGGGGTGTGTGTCCACACCACTACACCCCCAAGATCCACCCCTGCCCTTTTACAATTGGGTTAACTGTGGGTGGCCTTTGTTGTAAGTCCAGAGTATGGCTTGAATGAAAGCAGCCATAAAAAGGTAGCTAAAAATGAGCTCCATCTCCTTGCTCCATACTAAAAGAAGAGATAAAGAAAGGAATGCCAATTGTCATTGGCTTCAGCAAATGATTTTCCTGCAGAAACAATATGGAATTATGCTCATAATGTAAAATAAGATTGAAATGTATTTGGAAAGCTGTATGTATTTCAGGATTCTGAGGCCACTGAATGTATCTGTTTGCTGCAGGACTGTGCTCCAGAATATGACCTTTTCTTTCTTTCTTTTTTTTGTAAGTTCCTACCTGTTATGGTTACAGAGATAATCCCAAAATGTGAAAGCGGTGTGTAAACTGATGTTATGTCATCCATATGGTTTTGCAGAAAGCCACAGCAGTTTTCAATTGGAGTCCCATTGGTCTGTAATTCTGCAGTTATATCATTAAATGTGGCATTTTTGCCACAGATGTCACCGTTTTTCTAGGCACCTGACATATTATTTTCCATTTCCTTGCCCCATTAGGACCTGCCTGCAGTTGCCTCTTTCTTTGCAGTTTTTCTCACAATGGGGAATAAAATGAGTTACAGTGCTCTCTTCCATGTAGCTAGGGATCTGGGGGTCAGGGAGTGAAAGCTGTAGTCCATCTCACGGGCAGTAATCACAGAAATCCAGAAGGGTAGTACTGTGAATTAAACTGACTAGCAAACAGTGCAGCAGCTGAGCCCTGAAGCACCAGAGAAGCTTGACTGCCAAAACCATGTACAGTCTCCCTCACTGCATGGAGGGCAGGAGGTTCTGAGCCTAATGGAAATAGGGACTTGAATGTGGAATAATCTACATAGAGAACATAGAAAAAACATAGTTTAATCTTAGTTTAAGGCCAAACTGGACCATTAGATTATCTGCTTTGGCTTCCTATATATAGGCAAGATTACAGGCAATTAAATTACAACCAGATACCCCAGTATTGAGCACCAAAGCTTCCATTTTTGTCTGTAGCATAAATTGTGTTTTGACTAAGGCATACCTTCCAGAAAGGTGTCCAGTAATGAACTGAAGGAATTAAGAGATATGGAATCTACAACTACTACTGCTATTTTGTTTCAGTGGTTAATAACCCTATTTCAAAAAGGGGCTGATTTCTAATTTGAATTTGATGGCTTTAGCTGCCAGGCATCGGCTCTTGGTACTCCTTTCTGCATGATTTAAAGAGATTTTCTCCTGGCCACTACTACCAGGTCAGAGAGAATCAACCTTTTCCTACATTCCTTGTCCATTCTTGGGGGGTTTCTTCTTAGACCCCCTGCATTGTGCATGCTAATCTTCTTGCTATTATTCACCCCTCAATCACAGAATCATAGAAAAATAGGGTTGGAAGGGACCTCAGGAGGTCATCTAGTCCAGTGGTTCTCAACCTTGTTTGTATCAGGACCCATTTGTAAACATTGATGGCCAGTCTTGACCCAGTGCCTCTCACTCCCCTTCCCCCCCGCTGCTCCCCGCCCCCAGACTCCAGCCCCAGCCCCTTGAAGGCTGGAACTCTGCCAGCCCAAAAAGGAAAAGCCAGTTTCCCATGTTTTTCTCCTTTAAAGGAGAATCCATTTTTTAAAAAGTTTGTTGATCCATTTTTAAAGTTTGTTTGTGACCCTTTCATATATTCTTGTGACCCATTTTTGGGTCACAACCCACGAGTTGAGAAATGCTGATCTAGTCCAACCCCCTGGCTCAAAGCAGGACCATTCCCAACTAGATAATTCCAGCCATGGCTTTTGTCAAGCTGGGCATTAAAAACCTTCAAAGATGGAGATTCCACCACCTCTCTAAGTAACCTGTTCCAGTGCTTCACCACCATCCTAGCAAGAGAGTTTTTCTGATTATCCAACCTAAACTTCCCTTGCTGCAACTTGAGACCATTGCTCCTTGTTCTGTCATCTGCCATCACTAGGAACAATTTAGCTCCATCCTCTTTGGAACTCCCTGTGGAATCAAAAAAAATATATGCCTTAAACTTTGATTATTTTAGTTATAAGATGACATAACCGCTTTGTGGAGAATTGCTGGCTCTGTATAGTAGAACAGATAAGAGAAAGTGTTTGTTCTTTGTAACTCCTCTGCAACTGCTTCGCTCACCGCGGCCTTGAAGATAGCAAAAAGTATGTACAACTCTGATTTGCAGGTGCAAGAAGGAGGTTTGTGAACTAACCTCGCCTCCCCCATTAGTTCCCATCCTGATTACAGCAAAGAAATAATGAAGTAATATTATAGCCGCTTTTCATGCTAATTTCACTATATGATCACGTGAGTTGTAAGCAACTGTTAAAAAGTATATAAGCCTCCTGATTTTGCTCTTGGGGGGGACCCCTTCCAAGTGCTTGGGAAATCCATGTCAATTTAGAATCCCCCCTACAGCTGTAGTTTCTTTTGAATAAAAGCTTCTGCTGACCTGACCCAAAAGTATGCTGCGTGTGTTTCCACGACAAAGTAAAAAGTGACAACCCTCTATTTTGTGCTTCTGTATTATTTGAAAGACAACAGAAAAATCAGGATACCTAATAAAAAGTAAAAGAAAAAAAAAGAAAAATTCAGAATCATAATTTCTAAATCACATATAGAATCTTTTTTTTTAATAAAGTTCTGAATGACACCATCCTCATCTCCTCAGCTCCCACTACAAAATCCTACGGTCATGCCATGTTTCCCTTGCCTGGTTTCCATAACCTCTTTTTCTCTGACTCATCTCATTAGCCTTTCCAACATTCAGTAGATGCAATTACCTAACCTCTCTGCTGTTTTTACCCAGACATGCCATTCATGACTCCATGCTGCAGTTTCTCTCTCTCTCAACAGAAAATTCAAATATCATGTTCTCATTCTTACAGCACTGGATTGTTCAGCATCTGCCAACGTGTGACCTCTTTGCTCCTGTCATTCCTTTCCTACCCTTTTGTGTTTTCCTTCCTTTCTTGCTCCCTT